GCCACAATGCACCATTCACACATGAATATTCACAGGATTGTGTCCAAACAAAAGGAGTATAATTTTTATGAGGACTGTTTGCGAACTGCTGCCTTGTGTTGTGTGATCCCCCAGGGTGTTGTTTTCGCCAGTTCGGATGATTGTAGCTATTTACGTGGGTATATGATACAGAACTGTTCAGCTGGCCGGCCTCCTGTTCAGCTACCCGTGTCCATCTAAAGTAGTTAGCCCTTGTGTGGCGCTGTTTGCCCGGTCTATACCTGACCGAGGACTGCAGCAAACCTAATCACCTATTTGTTTATGTTCTATCTGAATTTCTGTGTCGACATGGCGACAGAGTGAAGCCGCGACAACAACGGGGTCGGCAGTGAGGTCGTGTATCCTGTTTAACCAGTTGACCCTTTCCCTATACAAATGGGACAAGGTCAGACAGGTGATTTCGCAATTAGGGGGAGGGGAATAATGCGGTTCGGGAATTGTTAGACAGGGGAGCGGTTAGTTGTAAGAAAATATTTTTTTAAGCGCGCATTATTTACATTTCTTTCAGGAAATCTATCTCATCAAACTATAATTCCAGGTAACAGATTAAGTTGGGGCGCGGCTTAAGGTATAAAATAATGATTTAGTCCAACTCTGTGTATTACTGTGTAAGGAAGGTGATGTGTGGGGTGAGTTGACAGCTGGGACCATCTTTCCCTCCCCTCTCCCTCCCTCTCGTGTGTGTCCCCGCCCATACCGCTATCCACTGAGTTCAGGGGTAGTTCGCTACTGAAACTGGGCATGCTTTATCAAGCTGCCAGATTTATTTGCTCAGCATGATGACTCACTGAAGGATTCCCCGCTGTCGGCCAATCCCACTCAATGAGCTGGCCCTTCCCGCCTCACTGTACTCCGATATCTGAACTAGATTATCAACATGACACCGCGCGCATGTTCAGAGCGCTGTCGGCTGTGCTGATGCTGCAGCTATTGATCTGAACCGATCTGAACTTCTGCTGGATGCTCAGGTAGCTACCAGGGCGTGTCAGCGAGGAAATCATTTCAGCACGCACGCACGTACACATAACCTATGTCAGTTTACAAGTGACACCCCCATGTCCACTTTCAACAGTTCTCCGTAGTTCCCATTTACCGAATAGAATTTTATTTCAGTAACAGGCCTCTTGTCAACAAAGTATAAAAATAGACATACATCCTTGATAATATAAACATTTTTACTCTGTAATATTGATATAAAATTAATAATTGATGGACATTTACTAAAATATTTTGATATGTACTTATATCTGATATGAGAATATGCATCACAGATATAAAACACATGCCATTCATCTTCAACAACGAAGATACCATTTAATTTACAAAACAGGCAATGCCTTTCATTATATGCAACATATATGTTGTTTTGTAATACTTGTCCCGATAGACAAATGTTATATTAAATCGACAATTGCTCTTTCCTTGCTTTCTTAATTCCGAGCGATTATGAAATATTGAAATGAGGTCCATGGCAAATTATTTGAAACGTGTCGACGATCGTCACTTCTGAGAGGTGTTCCCAATGAATATTTGCAAACCGTTATTTAATTTGAACTGTCGTTTAGAAACCACACTCGGCAGAGTGACAGGCCGTTAAGTTGTTTTCGGTGTAGATTTTTAAAGATTTTTGTGATAATACTTATACGTACGACACACGATTTGGGAAAAACGACGTATTGGGACCACGTAAAAGATGGAAGTATCTAGCTATTGATGCATGGTAGTCCGTCAGTTTATACATCGATATCAGAGTTCAATACCTTGTTAGATATCCTGTGTGTTCAATAGACATAGTGCATTGAAGATGTACATAGGCTCCGCTCTTCTCGACAGTATATTGCTCGTCTTCAATTGGAATTGTACATCAGTTTCCCTCAATACAAAATATCGGTAACAACATCTGTAACTTTCTCACTATACAAACGCTTAGTCCCTGAATATATACAATTTTGATAGAAACAAATTACCCCAAGTTAATTGAAAGAGACGGGAGATTCAGAACCTACAGCTTGACCTGGGGAAATCTAGACTTGCTTCATTTAGGGCTTTAGCATTACATAGAGGGCTAGACAGTAGGGAAAATAATGCGGTTCCTGGACTGTGAGACAGAATACGCTCCCTGGAATCACGAAATGTTGAGACCCGTGAATATCCGGGTTAGAACTAATCCTCAGGAACCCATGCTTCTCGTAAGAGGCGATTAACGGGATCGGGAGGTCAGGATCACCGACTTGGTTGACACACGTTATCGTATCCCAATTGCGTAGATCGATGCCCTTGCCGTTTATCACTGGGTTGTCTGGTCCAGACTCCATTAGTTACAAACCGCCGCCATATAGCTGGAATATTGCGGCGTAAAACAACAAATTCCAGCCACTGAACTTTGAACCTCGGGGCGTGCTCAGCTGGAAACTATGTCGAATAAAGCAAGGAAATATTATTTGTGTGAAAGTATATTATCATATCGCACACTACTGCATTCCATTATTAAAACACTAACAAATTGAATCTGGGTATATTTGAACTGTTAGAGTGGTAAATCTGGGAGATCCCTACAGATATTCCCGGCTGGAAGGGGGTCCCCAGCATGCAGTGCGAGATGTCTGTATGGAGAGGGTGGTCATCATTCCCAATACCATGGGCCGTGCTCATGATACCAATCACTTGACCGGCTGGTCCACACTCGAATATTTACGCGTAAAATACGACACGAACCTTCAACCATGTTAATGACTTTGTTTGTATTTTTACTTTTGAAGCTTACAAGATATCAAATTGAAACTATGGAACACATCCAATTTATCTCATTGGACTGAGGTGAGGTAAGGGTAAGATGACTGGTTATAACGAAATCGGATATGGCGAATACTCGGTTAAACCCAGCCAGGTCAATGCCTTTGTGTCTATGTGTTCGGATACGATGAAGTGATGACATCCCGCCATCTCTAGCGTTTACCGTTAATATGGGTGTCTCTCACACTTTGACATAGATATGCAAACTGTTGCATGATACATTGCAAGTATCCTGAAAAAAGTTGTAACATTTTCAATGTACAACACGATAGCTGCAATAAAAACCCGAACCCTGATACACTTAATCAAAAGTACGTATTCGAAGGTACCTATTTCAAACAAAGCAAACGAATCTTAAAAAAACGCCAACGAGGGGGCGTGGCTTCACAGTAATAGTGTAAACGCAGCCTAAGACAGGCTAGGTCTTCAAGCTGATCAAGTACTAGCCTTGCTCCAAGGTTGTACTGAATACTAAACCCATAGTATATGGATGTATAGTAATTCTATCCTTTAAAGAGGCAAGTTTAGATAAGGACGCCAGTCTGTTATGCATATTTTCCCTTTAGAAATTTTCGATCTAATTATTAATTATCACCTTAGAGACTTGTGCAAGTCTAATCAAGTTCTAACAAAACTAACACCAGCTGGGTACAGCAAAATACCGGATCGTTTCGTTAGCTGCAGGGACACTTGTGTTGTACACTGAAACGGAAAATGCCACGAGGCACGAAGCGATAACGGTTTTCTTTTATACTTGTACACTATATTCAGCTTAGAGCAATACATCAATGTCAGTCTGGTCAACACGTGAATTCCGAGAGTCGTACCTGTGGGCACACTGTCGTTACACTTTTGGCTCAAATGTTTACAGTTAACTGACATAAATATTCATATTTACTCAGTAACCTACCCGTGGCTATTCCGTTTATGGCAGTCCCCACTACAACACTGCTTGTCGTAAGGTGCGACGTCGTTGACTACAAGTCACTGCGTCGACTGCGTATGGACGTTGTTTGTGTCAAGCACAACTTTGCCTCAATAACTGACACGCAGCAACACAGCTGAGGGACGCAACTGTAGCTTTTTTTTTCTTTCTACATACCACAGAAAATAGGGTGAATTTAGTCAGCTTTATATTCTAAGGAAGGATTATGTTTTACTTCACAATCATGTAAATCTTACATGACATTAGGTCTTGTTATCCAAAGTCACACACAGAGTCACGGTTTATTGGAAGGGCGCACCCTGTACATGGTCTTTACAGTGAGTGAGTATGGTTTTATGCCGCTTTTAGCAATATTCCAGCAATATCGCGACGGGGGACGCCAGAAAGTGGCTTCAGACATTGTACCTATGTGGAGAATCGAACCCTGGTCTTCGGCGTGACGAGCGAACGCTTTAACCACTAGGCTACCCCACCGCCCCCCTTTACACAAAGAAACCCTTTGTCTGCAATGTACCCGTGTCCTTCGGTTTCATGAACGTGATAAACGTAATGTACATACGGAACGTCGTAAATATGTTCCATATGGTGTAAGTAAGTCACAAAATATTGACAGATTGGTTCTCACAGTTTATATGTTTACGAAAAAGTAATTACAGTTGCAGATAATGTAATGAATGTTCAACTTCCATTTTCGTAAAAAAATGTGTCCTTCGTGAAAAAACGTAATGCAATATAGATCTGTATGAGGTATGTGTGTATGTGTTGTTGATGTTACCCTTGTAAAACCACCACTGTAGCGTCTAGACAGTGCCGAGTCACAGAATTGTCAACAGTTGTCATATGACGTCATAATTTAGTGACGTCATGTCTTAATTTCTCCCTGAAGATATAAGACATAACATGTAGGGGAACAATTCCTGCCGTGTCGTACCGTTATATACGTGTGACTGTACAGAAGAGAATTCACCTCTTGGGATAGTCGACCACCATAACAAGATTGTGCTAAGATCTTACTGCACTGAGGACGTTGCTCGTGTTATTAACCACTGGTACCCGGTCCATGATCTGATGTGTACACGCCGTCATGGCCGTACTGTCGTGGTTCCTGCAATATTTCTGTTTTAACCCCACTTACACCATCCCACATTCGGCGGACTGCTCCTTTAAACATGCAGCCATCGACATCCAGGGGATGCATTAGCTGAAAGTGTGGTAACTATCGCTACGGGCATCTGGTCGCCGCCACGCGTTCACCCTTCACTGTGTTCCCCAATACCTGCACGTGGAGTGCTGGCGTGTTCAACATTGTCTCCATACACACAGCTATACCTGCACCGACCTCAGATAAGATACGTTACAGTGTATTTACCGTTGACTGTACTGCACAGCAAGCTAAGGTGACATTGAAACCGCTATTCACGACAGGCTCTAAGCTTGTTTTGTCATTCACTGCATTGACTCGCCTGAATCAATACAACCCGGCGTAGTGAACGCTAACCGCGACTGTCGTCCTCCAGCCCCAGCGGACAAGCTTGACTGCACCTAGGTGGTCGACGCTACGAGCGACAGTCTACCCGACCTTCACAAGTGACGCTACAGTCTTCAAGATGTCCGCCCTCACACATACCGTGATATTCGGCTTGATATTAATCAGCGCATGTGAATCCGAGAAGTTGTTTAAGTCTATGGACGTCAACACTCCTTCAGTAAGTACAAGCAGATGTTTTGATATGACGTAGTTGTGTTCTGTTGGCAATGGGCAATGCATGTTCTCGTTGCTATGTAGGTCAAATCGCCATGGCTGTATACGGGGTTTCTTGCATCACACAGATACCAGCAGAATGCTATCGTCGTTGTATAGGAGCTATATATATTCCATAGGTTCGTCGTTCGTTAATGGAGCGGTGTAGAATGTTATGCCAACAACGTCCCGTATAACACACAGCCGATGGGTTGCGAGTATTGGAGGATCGACGTGTTTCCAACCGGGCGATATTTCAGTTCTTGTGTGCAGGGCGAAATTCTCACAGAAGCAAGGGGAAAATGGCACCAGTTATAAACAACCAGGCTTAAAATAGATGTTGGGCTTGGAACCAAGCCTTCGCCAGAGCTAGTGGTTTAGATTGACCCTATACAAATGTAGACCTTTACTATATCATGTACAGATGGGCTTGAACAGGTTCATCTGTGTTGCCTGAATTCCCACAGTGAAAGTAGAGTGCCGATGTTAGAATTGTTCATGCTGTGTATTGATGTTAATGATGTGAATGTGTATTGTTGTTTATGATGTGAATGTGTATTGTTACTCACTCACTGCTCTCCGATGTGCTGTTATAATTAGTTCAACAATGCACAGTAAAGTTGTCTTGTTCGCCTAACACGAGATATGCAGGGAGGTATGGTTTTGGTTAGGTGGGGAAGATGTTGTTTTATGTATCACCCTGTGACCTGTAAGCTTTACGGTAATGGCCTGTAAGTCAGACTCAGATAGTCATGTGACTGATACCGTGCGACTTGCTATTCGCCATCGATACGGTGATGCACAACGAGGTCACTCAAGGTCACATGTTGCCCGCTCATCGGTGGCAGCTGATACGCATGGAAAGCTGTTCTCCAACGGATTCGTTACGGCAGTACAATCGTGAACTGCAGAACACCTAAATATGCTGCCCTGGAATAATCACGTGGTGACAAATACGAGGTACAGGGGAGCAGCTATACTGCCCTGGAATCTCTACATGGTGACAATCATGAGGTACAGGTGAGCAGCTATACTGCTCTGGAATCTCTACATGGTGACAAATACGAGGTACAGGTGAACAGCTATACTGACCTGGAATCTCTTCATGGTGACAATCATGAGGTACAGGTGAGCAGCTATACTGACCTGGAATCTCTACATGGTGACAATCATGAGGTACAGGTGAGCAGCTATACTGCTCTGGAATCTCTACATGGTGACAATCATGAGGTACAGGTGAGCAGCTATACTGCCCTGGAATCTCTACATGGTGGCAATCATGAGGTACAGGTGAGCAGCAGTACTGCCCTCGAATCTTTACATGGTGACAATCATGAGGTACAGGTGAGCAGCTATACTGCCCTGGAATCTCTACATGGTGACAATCATGAGGTACAGGTGAGCAGCTATACTGCCCTGGAATCTCTACATGGTGACAATCATGAGGTACAGGTGAACAGCAGTACTGCCCTGGAATCTTTACATGGTGACAATCATGAGGTTGAGGTGAGCAGCTATACTGCCCTGGAATATCTACATGGTGACAATCATGAGGTACAGGTGAGCAGCTATACTGCTCTGGAATCTCTACATGGTGACAAATACGAGGTACAGGTGAGCAGCTATACTGCCCTGGAATCTCTACATGGTGACAATCATGAGGTACAGGTGAGCAGCAGTACTGCCCTCGAATCTTTACATTGTGACAATCATGAGGTACAGGTGAGCAGCTATACTGCCCTCGAATCTGTACATGGTGACAATCATGAGGTAGAGGTGAGCAGCTATACTGCCCTGGAATCTCTACATGGTGACAATCATGAGGTACAGGTGAGCAGTTATACTGCCCTTTAATCTCTACATGGTGACAATCATGAGGTATAGGTGAACAGCACTACTGCCCTGGAATCTCTACGTGGTGACAAATACGAGGTACAGGTGAGCAGCTATACTGTCCTGGAACCTCTGGATGGTGACAATCTTGAGGTATAGGTGAGCAGCTATACTGCCCTGGAATCTCTACATGGTGACAATCTTGAGGTATAGGTGAGCAGCACTAATGCCCTGGAATCTCTACATGGTGACAAATACGAGGTACAGGTGAGCAGCTATGCTGACCTGGAATCTCTACATGGTGACAATCATGAGGTACAGGTGAGCAGCTATACTGCCCTGGAATCTCTACATGGTGACAATCATGAGGTACAGGTGAGCAGCTAAACTGACCTGGAATCTCTACATGGTGACAATCATGAGGTACAGGTGAACAGCTATACTGCCCTGGAATCTCTACATGGTGACAATCATGAGGTACAGGTGAGCAGCTATACTGACCTGGAATCTCTACATGGTGACAATCATGAGGTACAGGTGAGCAGCTATACTGACCTGGAATCTCTACATGGTGACAATCATGAGGTACAGGTGAACAGCTATACTGCCCTGGAATCTCTACATGGTGACAATCATGAGGTACAGGTGAGCAGCTATACTGCCCTGGAATCTCTACATGGTGACAATCATGAGGTACAGGTGAGCAGCTATACTGCCCTGGAATCTCTACATGGTGACAATCATGAGGTACAGGTGAGCAGCTATACTGACCTGGAATCTCTACATGGTGACAATCATGAGGTACAGGTGAGCAGCTATACTGCCCTGGAATCTCTACATGGTGACAATCATGAGGTACAGGTGAGCAGCTATACTGACCTGGAATCTCTACATGGTGACAATCATGAGGTACAGGTGAACAGCTATACTGCCCTGGAATCTCTACATGGTGACAATCATGAGGTACAGGTGAGCAGCTATACTGACCTGGAATCTCTACATGGTGACAATCATGAGGTACAGGTGAGCAGCTATACTGCCCTGGAATCTCTACAATTATGGTGACAATCATGAGGTACAGGTGAGCAGCTATACTGACCTGGAATCTCTACATGGTGACAATCATGAGGTACAGGTGAGCAGCTATACTGACCTGGAATCTCTACATGGTGACAATCATGAGGTACAGGTGAACAGCTATACTGCCCTGGAATCTCTACATGGTGACAATCATGAGGTACAGGTGAGCAGCTATACTGACCTGGAATCTCTACATGGTGACAATCATGAGGTACAGGTGAGCAGCTATACTGACCTGGAATCTCTACATGGTGACAATCATGAGGTACAGGTGAGCAGCTATACTGCCCTGGAATCTCTACATGGTGACAATCATGAGGTACAGGTGAGCAGCTATACTGCCCTGGAATCTCTACATGGTGACAATCATGAGGTACAGGTGAGCAGCTATACTGCCCTGGAATCTCTACATGGTGACAATCATGAGGTACAGGTGAGCAGCTATACTGACCTGGAATCTCTACATGGTGACAATCATGAGGTACAGGTGAACAGCTATACTGCCCTGGAATCTCTACAATTATGGTGACAAATACGAGGTACAGGTGAGCAGCTATACTGCCCTGGAATCTCTACATGGTGACAATCATGAGGTACAGGTGAGCAGCTATACTGCCCTGGAATCTCTACATGGTGACAATCATGAGGTACAGGTGAGCAGCTATACTGCCCTGGAACCTCTACATGGTGACAATCATGAGGTACAGGTGAGCAGCTATACTGCTCTGGAATCTCTACAATTATGGTGACAAATACGAGGTACAGGTGAGCAGCTATACTGCCCTGGAATCTCTACATGGTGGCAATCATGAGGTACAGGTGAGCAGCTATACTGCCCTGGAATCTCTACATGGTGACAATCATGAGGTACAGGTGAGCAGCTATACTGCCCTGGAATCTCTACATGGTGACAATCTTGAGGTATAGGTGAGCAGCTATACTGCCCTGGAATCTCTACATGGTGACAATCATGAGGTACAGGTGAACAGCTATACTGCCCTAGAATCTCTACATGGTGACAATCATGAGGTACAGGTGAGCAGCTATACTGCTCTGGAATCTCTACAATTATAGTGACAAATACGAGGTATAGGTGAACAGCTATACTGCCCTGAAATCTCTACATGGTGACAATCATGAGGTACAGGTGAGCAGCTATACTGCTCTGGAATCTCTACAATTATGGTGACAAATACGAGGTACAGGTGAACAGCTATACTGCCCTGGAATCTCTACATGGTGACAATCATGAGGTACAGGTGAGCAGCTATACTGCCCTTGAATCTCTACATGATGACAAATACGAGGTACAGGTGAGCAGCTATACTGCCCTGGAATCTCTACATGGTGACAAATACGAGGTACAGGTGAGCAGCTATACTGACCTGGAATCTCTTCATGGTGACAATCATGAGGTTCAGGTGTGCAGCTATACTGCCCTGGATACATAAAATTTGGTAGAAACAATTTATTTCATTTATATGGCAACGGAGACCCAATGAGTTGGGAGATTCAGAACCTGCGAATGTCCGGATAGAAATATTCTAGATAGAAATAATAATGTCAGGGCAGACGGGAATACAATACAGAGTGTGTGACAGGGTATAGAGGGGAAGACCGGGTAGAAGGTAGGTGAGGTGAGGTGAAATTGGGTTTAACGACGTGCATGCATGTGTATGTGTATGTGTGGCTGCTTGTACTAGTCCAGACATAAGCTGGTTTTATAGTGCTAGCCCACTGAGATACCATGCCGCAGTGAAGCATGAATACCCCACTCAGACACATTATACTGACTCCGAGCCGACCAGTCCTTGTTGTACCCATTAATGCCGGGTAGAATGTAGACTGTGTAGAAGATAGACCGTGTAGAGGAGAGACAGGGTAGAATTTAGACTGTAGAAGCTAGACCGTGTAGAAGGGAATACAGGGTTGAAGGTAGACTGTGTAAGGGATAGACCGTGTAGAACCGAATACACGGTAGTAGAAGATAGACAGCGTAGAAGATAGACTGTGTAGAGGGGAAGACAGGTGTGTGCAGCTGGGTGGGGGTGGTAGGACATGGTAAAGGGGGTGAGTGGAATGTAATCGTGTAGGAGACTTTTACCTGTAACAGTAAGGTATCAGTGGACACATGTCGGTTGTATGTTGGTCTATGTTGATCCCACCAGGCGATCTTTTAGGTTTGGGAATCACAGCAAACATGTAAAATGATCAAACATGTCTTAACAAGCTGAGTGCAGGTCTTCAACAGATGCCAGAGTCCCTTGGTACACATCTGCCGGTTTTGATTATATATTTCATATTTTGAAAATGAAAGTGTTGATCGGCGTTACTCGTTAGACATCTATGTGTTAAACTTTAGAAGAGTATGGTTTACACAGTATTTAGCCCGTAATCTAGATATCGCGCTCATAATGAAGGGCCTAGTCTGTCTCACAGTCCCTGAACCACATTTCCCCTACTGCCTAGACTCCCTGTAATGCTAAAGCCATAAATGAAGGAAGTCTAGATTTCCCCAGGTTCAGGTTCTAAATCTCTGGTCTCCATGGGGCTTCTTTTCAGTTTAGATGGGTTTATTTGTTACTATCACAATTATATGTAGTCAGGGTCTAAGCTTTAGTCTAGGAGGGACAGGAATATACTGTGTGTTATACTCGCATGCAGCGAGTAAAACACACGATATATTTAGTTTCATATTTCAGATGATTTAAAGTTAGGAGAGTTCGCCTAATTGAATAGTGCTTCGTTTGAATGTCAACATGCCAATAGTGAATGAAAATACAAACGTTCTTCAAGGCTGGAGGAATCAAGAAGCATGAAAAGTGTGTTGACAGCCCCATACAGCGTTTGTATACGACATTGCAAAAAAAAGAATATGATGAGATGAGCAGGTCTTGTTAACACAGAAAAAACAGCTAAGGTGATCAAAGTAGTAGACGAGTAAGTCATGTTCATACTACAAAAACATATGTATGGTTGATCAAAGTATCCTAATTAATATGGTGAATAAGTTATGTTTATACAATGAAAACATGCATGGTTGATCAAGTGATACTAATGTAAGTAGATGAGTATGTCATGTCACACAGACGATTTACAAGATCTATTTGCTTAATGTTAACAGCCACTTGGGTAATACCCATTATTATGATAGGGGTGGTAGAACTGGCCATTGTAATTATTGTAGGCGATATGAGGTGTAGGCGATATGAGGTGTAGGCGATATGAGGGCAAGCGAGGAGAGACTGGCGGCGACACATACCAAGGGACATAACTCTGCACTACGTGCCTCTCAATTGACCGACAATTGCTATATTCAATGTACAATACACCATTGCAGATCACAATTGATAAAATATAAACAACGTATAATATTGTTATTATGTAGGGAATGTTTGCTTGAAGATCATTGACCATCTTTGCACACCATTGTTCATCATCGTACACATGTACATATTTCAGACAGCCTACATGCATCTGAAATGCCGTCATCTGACAATCCGTCAAATATGCGAATGGTGAACTTAAGGCCCGATTCAAAGCTTGTTATTGCAACGTAGGTGGCGCCTCTTTAAATTATGTATATCTCATAAAAAACATAAACTTATTGTTTCTGGAGTCTGGCGTGAGCTGAGACTGATGCAACCCAGTGTTGATGTATCAGGGGAATTGATATTTCTCCCACTATTTTCTGTTCTATTTTCTCCGACCGGGGCCAGGTGTGAGAGGTAAAGAGGGCCGTGGCGAGGGACGGCGTAATGGCGGACTTATGACATTTAGTGAAGTTAATACTGTGTATGTTTCACCAAGTCAACTTCAAAACGCACGTAAAATATTGATAAAGGGAGGTCACTCATGAATACTTATGTCTGATTGGACCCGGCTGGATCGGAACACTGTTGATGGGTTTTGTTGCACCATGTCCACGTGTCACACACCTGTATTGTTACCTGTTGCCATGTAGGAGGATATTACTCATGTAATAGTAAAATTGAATGACACTAAATTTCAACAACCTTGAAGGATCATAGAATGCTTTGGCTTGCCATAATCAAATGCATTAATTGGAAACAGCAGGATGATTTCATGTATCACTGATTTTTCAGCCGTTAAGTTCTTACGACAAGGTTTGCGTGTCCAACTTAGTTAAATCCCGGTTTAGCCAAGACAAAATGGTTCCCATGTTGATTTACAAACATTTGCATTTAAAAGAAGGGTGTTTGTGAATCAGTGCTAGTTATATCCTTGATTTACAAGCCTTGACAATGGAGTCCAAGTGATTTGTGTTTTTACGCTGGAAAGATGCGTTACCCCGCTGTCAAATTGCAAGGTCTCACAGTCCATGAAAAGCATTATTTTCCCTACAGCTTAGCCCTTCCTGCAAAGAGACCGTTCATAATTTATGGCGGGGTGTGCGGTGTGGTATGGTGTGGTGTGGTGTGGTGTGGTGTGGTGTGGTGTGGTGGTGTGTGTGTGTGTGTGTATGTGATATGATGATTTTTATGTAGAAGCATGTACAATATGAATAACCCCACGAAATGTATGAAGTAAGTACCCCACCGCATTCCATCTATAAAATCAACGACCCCCCTCCTCCCCTTCCCATGGATAAAAACATGTTATCTGTAAAGTTTAGCAATATTGCAAGTCTAGATTTCCTCAGCTTCTGAATCCCCCATCTCATCACCCCATCTGCTTTCCAATTTAAAGTTTTTTTGTTACTATCAAAATTATGTATAATTAAAGATTAATCGTCAGCCTAGGGCTTCCGTGTCCACGCATCGTTGTCTATGTTGTTGATCATTGTATTGTCTGGTCCAGATTCGATTACTTACAGACTGCCGCCATATAGCTGGAATATTGCTGAGTGCAGCGTTAAACAACCAACCAAGCAACCAATCAAGTATCCAAGTTGGTGTAGTTTAGCACTACAGGGTTTGTGCATTAACGCTGGGCATATCCTGTATCCCTGGGCATATCCTTTATCGCTAGGCATATCCTATATCGCTGGGCATATCCTGTACCGCTGGGCATAGCCTATATCGCTGGGCATATCCTATGTCGCTAGGCATATCCCATATCCCTAGGCATATCCTGTGTCGCTAGGCATATGCCATATCGCTGGGCATATCCTATGTCACTAGGCATATCCCATATCCCTAGGCATATCCTGTGTCGCTAGGCATATGCCATACCGCTGGGCATATCCTTTGTCGCTAGGCATATCCCATATCGCTGGGCATATCCTATGTCGCTGTGCATATCCTATATTTTCATCTTTTTTTTCCAGCATGTCGCAACCATTACCAACTTCAGTGTCAACAATGAAGCGAGAAGTGAGGTCTACTTCGTCACCGCAAAGTTCAACAAGGTTGGAGCTGGGCCTGAGTGTTCTATATGGTTCTCTACATTAACTAGGAGACAACATAACTATATATTCAGTAATAAAGAATCAGTTCGCATACAGAATGTACACACTTAGCCAGAAATATAGACATGTGGAGAGTGTATTTTGGTACTTTGAAAGAAAAAATATGTCTTTACGAAAAATAAGATTTTTGTCATAATTGAGAAATGCCAAAGTTTGTGACAATACGTGTTTCACTACGCTCCGCGTATTGTTATCAAGATATAGATTAAGATGCGACAGAAGTCAAGATTGCAGGACAAGTTCCTAAATATAATTTCTGTCATGAAAATAGTGTCTATCGAGGCGAAGTGGAGTTCAATGTCGTTCTCATAGTTACTTCACATACAAAGCCACGTAAATGCACGTGTGTGTGGCTGTTCGTACTATACGTATCCAGGCTGATGGTGGTTCCCTGGTGCTTGCCCACTGTGGCCCGCGGTGTAACACAGCCTCGGTGCCAGCCAGCTTTCAACTACACATTGAATGGCATACGTCATCCAGACCACCAGGAGCATGTACCATTCTAAATAGACGGACAAGACGTTTTATCAAATAACCGTTATATGCATAGAGGTCATATTTTAATCGTGTTTATTTGTTTGCACAGAACAACGTATTTCCCACATTCATGGTGCTGGAGACGGATTCAGTGGACCAAGTAAGTTGATCTTTACCATTTTCGATGTGATATTAATTTCCTTTATCATCAGCAGCAGCTACTGCAACATTGAATATATATTATAATCATTACAATTTATTATTCAATCTGCATATATATTATAGTCTTCTTGTCATCATCATCATCATCATCATCATCATCATCATTGTTGTTACAGAAATGCGACACGAAGGCAATATGGTCCGGTTCAGCTCAACCCGGTCAAGCCAGCTGCTTCGACCACGAAGACGACATAATGGTATGCTTCAGCACCATCAGCAACCTGACCATCGCCGCCGACGCCAAGTACAGCCTGTTCGGCCTCAACTGCCAGGGCACCACAGCGAGGCAGGTGCGTGCGCATTATAGCAAACTTTAAAAACTAAACGCTTTTTACACTGCCTAATTCAAGAATGCAGAGAAGTATAGCAAACGTTGAAAATTAAACGTGCCTTACATTGACTAACTGAAGAATACAGAGGAGTGAATCAAACGTTGAAAACTAAACGCTTCCTACACTGCCTAACTCAAGAATACAGAGGCGTGAATCAAAGGTTGAAAACTAAACGCTTCTTACACTGCCTAACTCAAGAATACAGAGGCGTGAATCAAACGTTGAAAACTAAACGCTTCTTTTATTGGAATACAGAGGCATTTCCAGTCCTAATATATTACACATTGCGTAAACACATCTATGCAGAACAGCATAACCAGCTCTGTCCCAATGCATGCCACGTTTGCAGCTCTGTTTAAAGGCTGTAATATCGATGTAGGGAGCTCGTAGTACAGGCTATTCCGAATGACATAATATACAGCTCTGTTTAAAGGCTGTAATATCGATGTAGGGAGCTCGTAGTACAGGCTATTCCGAATGACATAATATACAGCTCTGTTAAAAGCTGCTTTATGTTTTAGTCGGAATATGAAGCGCCGACCTTGAAACACAGTGACGTGCAAGGACATGACATGCAGAAATGCATGCTACGCCAACACGTGTGGTGGCACATACGCACACATAACTTATGCTGTGCTGTTTCATTCGTAACTACTCGCCTCTTTCCGTGACCTACAAGAAGACTCGCACCAATGCCGTACGCCATTATTGCCAAGAATCGTGGCAAACCAATCAAATCGCGCGTAGTAAAACGCATTTCGAAGCATGAAAATGGCGGCACAGTTGAACTTTGCTAAACTATGCAAAGCATAATTTAAACATAAACTTTGAGCTAAAGCATCAGCAACTTTAAACTCTGAAACATGTTTACAAAGGGAATGACTGTATTGCTGCTTTGCCCACGGGGTATAGGATATTCAAGGAACCATGTAAGGAATTTCAGAGTTACTTTCCTTGGCAATAGTACTAGACTATTTTCACCTCCATGCCCGTCTCCCTCTTGTTGATACATTATCTGACCACGTGATCTCTTCCTCTTCTTGTAGGGTATGGTGATGCACGTCATAGTTGCACAAAAGGTAAGTACAGCCTACTCTTCATCTTATTTGGAAATTGCTCGGTTATGTACAAACAGCGCTAATGTAATGATCTTCCAATAACCTACAAATACATTCACGCATAATGTTTGAATGTTGGTGTGTATGTATTTGTATGTACACATATGCATATGTATGGGTACATGTGTTTGTTTGTGTACATTTATAAAGTCTCAGTTGAAACATGTATCTATCTATATGCATGTATGCATATGTGTGCCTGTGTGTATCTGTGTGTCTATTCGTGCCTGTGTGTGTCTGGTTCTCTCGAACTGTGTTCTCTCTTACTGTCTGGCTCTCTCGTTCTGTGTTCTCTCGTACTGTCAGGTTCTCTCGTACTGTGTCGTTCTCCAACGACCGTAAGTAGTGGGCCACGTGCGACATCAACACTTTCCCTTGTGTTCCCTCAATGTCATTACGCACTGTTGCTTTTCGTCAATTGGTTTTTGAAGGTTGTTTGTAAGAATGCAAGTACGATTTTAAAACCACGTCTTACAACAAATGTCTCTGTAGCTGGTTGGAGGCTTCTTGTCAATACAGAAACAATCTGCCACCAAGAGCCGGCGAATGGACTCGTCTGAATGTCATTAAGACAAAAGTATTACTTCATGTGTAGGGGTTCTGGGTGATTGGGTTCTGGTTGACTGTCAGACCGAGGTTCCATGTCCTTTGGAAATAGGATGAAATACATGTGGAAAACTCCGATTTAGTGTAAAAAACGTGGCCATGTTGATTGATACACATACTCGGCAAGTCCAGACTTTCATTGTTCACTCCAGGGAGCCAAGCCTGAGGACAAGTACAATCCCGTGCCAGCACCTAACCCAGCTGACCACTACGACATCACACCCGTCATCCCCATCGCCATCGTCATGGGCATCATCAGCTGCATCTTCATTGTCTGCTTTTGTTACAGAAGTGTAAGTAGATCGCCATTGCTCGTCATCCAAGTTTTAGTTATTTGTGTTTCTCGAACATCCTACCTCAAAGATTGTGTCGATATATCACAGCCCTGCTGTTCCTCGAACACCACTGTACATATGCATCTTCGCTATTGTCGACACCTGTATTGTATCGAGGTCATCTCATTGTACTTCAACTGCTTAAAGATGTCCCTAATCATCGCTATGTTCTGTTACTTCCGAGGTACCCATTAGTAACAGTTGCAGTCATCAAATATCTCTAACTGTACATGATAGACATGCATCCCGAACTATGGATTGTATATTTGATATCTAACGGTCTAGACTGCACCGTCCCATCCCTCTCTCTCATCACACACACGCACGCACGCATGCACGCACTCCAATCTCGAAATATTGTATACAGGCTATCTTTCAGTCTTGACTGCACACACACACATGCACCCCCCCAACCCCCCACCCACACACATAAACACACGTACAAATCTTGAAATGTTGCTTGTGTACAGGCTAGCTAACAGTCTCTCTCTCTTCCTCTCTCTCTTCCTCTCTTTCGTTTATTGTTACCATTCAGTCCAGAACTATATTACATAATAAGTGTTTCTCATATGTTTCTTTCTTCACTTCAGCGGGACTGTTTTTCACGGAAGTCTTCAATAAGGAAGGGGAAGAAGTCTGGCTCAACGGAGGAAGCCAAGGCATTTATCAAGGAAGAGAGGGAGGCCGTCGCTTAACTTGTAACCCCCACCCCCCAAGAATTTGCCCTCTTTGTTTATTCTTTCTACTATTTACTTGATAGGTAATTTTCTTGACAGTTTCAGCGTTATGAATACACTGTGGATATTTACAATGGAACTTCTCTAAACCAGACTCTCTTGTAACCAACCTCTGTAAGAATTCGATATTTGTTCCTGAATAATCCAGGTGCATTATCAAAATACATTTGACGTTTTGACGTTTTCCCCAAAATGTATCTGTAGATAATTCCCATCCATAATTGTGTCTTCTGTTTATTGCTGAGGCAGAGGGGTAGCTTAGTGGTTAAAGCGTTCGCTCGTCACGCCGAAGACCCGGGTTCGATTCCCCACATGGGTACAATGTGTGAAGCCCATTTTTTGCTGTCCACCGTCGTGAGATTGCTGCAATATTGCTAAAAGCGGCGGAAAACTTTACTCACTCACTCACACTAACTGTTTTTCGCTGTACTCCATCTTCCATAATACTGACCAGGTTTAATCTGCTACCGTTATGAAAGGCCCCTTGAACACCTATATAGATAGCTATATAGGACAAATGCGATTGAAACATTTTATAAACCCCACCATTTTTGTACACAAAGCTGTATATAATTTGGATTTGTGAAATACATCTAGCTATATGAAAGTCATTTTGGGTAATATATGTCTTATATTGCGTCCATCATGTTTTATACTGAACCCTTGTACATGTATTTAAATCGCTGCATTATCCGCATTTAATGTATGTAAGTATTGTTTATAATGCCTGTTTAGGAACTAGATTAGGGTGCTGTTTGTTCCTTGTCTATGTAAATCATATGGAGGCTACATTGTATATTTAGTTTTATAAAGTTCATTATGAGTGTTTTACTCGGTTTCCAAGACTCGGATCTGTATTTCCGAGACTTCCTGGTACAGCTTGATGGGGTAATGAAGACTGAGTTGATCTATGGATATCAGCCTTATGTGTTTACTGTGAAACACATATGATAGAACTTGACAATTGTTCTTCGTTCTTCGTAAACCTTCATTGACATCACTCATTGACAATGATTCAGATCACATTGGTGTGGCATTTTTCTCATTTTCCAAAATCTTCACAAAACACACGGGCTAGTCCAGACGGAATTATCTCCCCTTATTGTGAGATCCATCATAGCAAACGATGGGAATGTTTGGCTCACAACGTGGTAATGCTAATACGAAGCCACCTCAATCGGCACTCATACATCCTACATGTAAATCTCAGCCACTACATAGAGAAAATATAGCGTTTGTAATCGCACATTCGTTTGACTGTATTTACCGTGAAGGATCGTTTATCTTCAAATAAGCATCCTTCGTGTCACGCTTGTTCGCTCCTTAAGTAGTATGATGTAGATGTTTTTAACGATACGCACTTTGCCTTTTTGAATGTACACATATCAGTGAATACACAATGCCCCTTTCAGGGCGAGGCTGTGGGTTGCAGTGTTGTCAGAATACGTTGTTTGTGTCAAATACACTTCTAGTTAGTTTTGATTACACGTGATTTTTAATAATGTTTTGTTCCATGTGTTTTAAAGTATCATTAGTCGGACCTCAACCACAATGACATAACGTTGGCATATGCAAGTTATAATCAGATAATCTAAAGATGTGTAATTATTATATGCAATAACATATCGTGGTACTGCTTTACAGACCCGGATGATTCAGTGATTGGTTGATAGATATTTACCCATTATTAACAAGTAAAGCACAGGTTGAGTTTTCTACGGACAGGTTGGTATGTCGATTGGTATGCTGGTATGTCGATTGGTATGCTGGTTAGTTGTATTATTTTCAATTGTTTGTATTTAGAGCAGTGCCTACCAATAGATTCAAACAATATTAATTGGAGCCTTGTTTTACACACAAAAATCAATAAAAATTCCTTTTAGATAATATTTGTGTTTAGTTCATTTTAACTACAATAGTCTTAATTAGAATACTCGGACCACTTTGTCTGCTTAACACCAAACTTGTTTGTTTATTTCTTAACGCCGCACTCAGCAATATTCCTGCTATATGGCTGCGGTATATAAATAATCGAGTCTGGACTAGACAATCCAGTGATCCAGAATTAAGATACGATGACATGTATCAACCAAGTCAGCAAGCTTGATCCCCCGATCCCTTTAGTCCTCCGTACGACAAGCATGGGTTGCGGAAGACCAATTCTAACCCAGATCTTCACACAAATTGAGTGAGTGAGTGAGTATATTTTTACGCCGCACTCAGCGATATTCCAGCTATATGGCGGTGGTGCGTAAATAATCGAGTCTGGACCAGACAATCCAGTGATCAACATCATGAGCATCGATCTGCGCAATTGGGAACCGATGACATGTGTCAACCAAGTCAGCGAGCCTGACCACCCGATCACGTTAGTCGCCTCTTGCGACAAGCACACACCAATTGAAAACACTAGTGACGAGGGATGAACCCTGTACGGTTATGCGTCAATTCCGATGTTTGTCGGGACCATTCCAGCTCTTCTTGGATTGTATCAGAGTGGATAATGTGAGGCCCTGCATTATTTCGGGCTTTCCTCCCTATGAAAGCTGACACAAAAATCTCGTTACGCGAAGACGTCATATTTTTACATCACTCAATGGGAGATACATCATATTTCACCAGACACAAGAAACACCCTCTATTTATTACCTCAGAACAAATGAAAGTGTTCTTCAGCCAGAATCTATTTATCATGGGTTTTTATTTTGGCCGAGGAGGTGTTGCTTTTTCGCCCTTGAATTGCATGGCCGGTAGAAAGATGGACGATGCAATTGACCCATTAACCCCGAATTTTTAGACTTATCCTAAAAAAAACCCCACAAAACAAACTTATAAATACTTGCTGACATTTATTACTGAGGTGCTAGAGAGATGAAGTAGGCTGCGCGTGTGAAGTAGTTTTTAAGGGGGTAATTCCACCTGAGTCGGTGTCGGGACGGTTGACCGCGAGTGAGAAGACGTGTTACATATTGGGAAATATCAACTTTTAATATCGACGTTTTGCATATACATGTAGATAGTATCTTCTGTGTAATTTACCTGAACAATACCTTATTTGTGCAAGAATGATTACATTGTATGATTTTACAATGATTCTTCAGCGCACCCCAATAGGATGCATAGCTTTGAAGGGCTTTGATTGCTGTCAGACAAAGGAATGGTACTGAAGTTGTTTTTTCTTCTTTCCAGTTTTAGAAATAACACATAACAACTAGAACTCAGTATCTTCCTGAAACTCCATGATTAATGTGTAATCTTGTAATAGTGAACATGAAGTTGGCAACATCATAGAAGTAGATTGTGTTGACGCTTCTATATGTATCGCTTCTCCTGATAATGTCGAGAACAGTTGTGCGGATGCTGGGTTAAGATGATAATGCTTGAATGAGCTGATAAAATACACCACGAACTGGCTGAAATTTAATTAATACGAACTTATATATCTGAACAGATTTTACTTTTTTTTAAAAAAAGTATACACGAATATACCTGGGGACCTTCGGCACCATCTACCCTATTAGGCTGCGGAAACATATCTTGCAGTGTCTCAAAAAATATATGAAGACGCTGAAAACAACACTTAATTGAGTGCAAAACTATATTTGAATGTAAGCAATATTTAAAAGTTGGGGATTAATGGGCTAAACGATTTGGCGGTGCAACGAAATGATTGTCCGATGCGATGAAGCGATGCTAAGAGTTGATCGATCGCACAGCACCTCTTACAACCATCATTGAAACATACAGCGAACATCTGAGATACAACAGCGAGTAACAGGGCAGTGACTTCCTGGTGTCAACTTAGCTTCGTCATGTCTGGTCAAGTATCTTCTTTGATCAAACATCATGGCTGGACATGTATCTTCTTTGATCAAACATCATGGCTGGACATGTATCATGTCTGGTCAAGTATCTTCTTTGATCAAACATCATGGCTGGACATGTATCATGTCTGGTCAAGTATCTTCTTTGATCAAACATCATGGCTGGACATGTATCTTCTTTGATCAAACATCATGGCTGGACATGTATCATGTCACTTCAAGTATCGTATCAAGTTACGAATCACGTTACGTCAAGTATCGTATCACGTCAAGAATCATGTTACGTCAAGTATCGTATCACGTCAAGAATCATGTTACGTCAAGTATCAGGACACGTGAAGTGTCAGGTCACAAGTGTAACGTCTGGCCACGTCACCTCAGATATCAGCACACGTCAAGAATCATGTTACGTCAAGTATCAGGACACGTGAAGTGTCAGGTCACAAGTGTAACGTCTGGCCACGTCACCTCAGATATCAGCACACGTCAAGAATCATGTCATGTTACATATCACCTTTTGTCAACTATCGTGTTTTGTTGATGTAATTGGATGTCGTCCGCATGAACAGCACACCCGCGACTGAGGATTCCACTGCTGTGTATCATGGCATCAAATGAAAGACTCAAGTCAAGTCCCAACTCACACCCGACTTCCCAGTCTACTGCCTGCACACTTAGGGTTGGTCTCGAAACACCCTGCACCTGGTCAGGACCATAATGACCTGGGTTGAACTTCTCCTTTCAATTGACCACGATAAGATGTAGGGTGTATATATGTCTGAATGGCCAGTGACCTGTTGGTCAAAGGATACTGTTGAAAACCTCTGCCAGCTATTCTTTTAGTGGGGACTGAAATCCGAGGGATTAGCGGTGACCATCGAACCTAATCCACAAGCTCACTAACTCCCTGTTTCATCTCCAGGTATGATTAGATGACAAAGGTTTCTCACTGACTAGGGCATGTGCCGAATTAGTTGGGGGTCGCCTGTCCTGCTTCTTACCCCGGATATTCCTACCTTGGATACATTATCATAGAATGTCAAGTAATATATCAAGTAACCTGTCAGGGAATGTCAAGTAACCTGTCAGGGAATGTCAAGTAATATGTCAGGTAACCTGTCAGGGAATGTCAAGTAATATATCAGGTAACCTGTCAGGGCATGTCAAGTATTACTACATCTTATACTCACCTCCATGCCTTCAAGTTACGACAACAACCTTGCCTGATCATTGAATGATTGATTGATTGTTGTTTTACGCCGCACTCAGCAATATTCCAGCTATATGGCGGCGGTCTGTAAATAATCCGGACCAAACAATCCAGTGATCAACATCACGAGCATCGATCTACGCAGTTGGGATATGGTGACATGGTCAGCGAGACTGACCACCCGATCCTGTTAGTCGCCTTTTACGACAAGCGTGTGTTGTTGAAGACCAATTCTGATCACTGCTGATATCAGGCCAAGTATGAGCCACGTCAGTTATCATGTATTATGTCAAGCGGAGAATTACCTCCATGTCAGATAGCTCTATATCTTCTCTCGTCAAGTAACACGCCATGTCAAGATTCACCATGTCTTATCCCGTATCATATCAAATCAAATATCACGTCACGTCAAGAAATATGTCACACCCCGTATCATATCACGTACCACTGAACAGGATTCAGATCACGTCAAGTGAATGTCTAGTGAGACAGGCTATCCATTGTCATCATTTCCCATGTACTAAATACTGGTGAAACACAACTCCACACATATATGATGGTAGTTTCAACGACGTGTGCACGCATGCATGCACACCAGTTCGGTAAACTAAAGTGTTCTTCTCATATATTGTTAACGAAACAATGCGTGGGAGTTATTTTCAAATTGAATACAAACTTGACACACTGAACAATGTTCATATTAAAGCGTAATAACGGAGTAATACAATGCCATTGAGGACAGTTACTGGGCGGTAAGTCCAGATTGTTCTATCATGACCCATCATGTAATGAAGGTAATGTTGACACCCCAGCAGCAAACAAACACGCGCGCGCACACATACACACCACGCACACAAACACACGCACGCACATACACACAACACACACAAACACACAAACAAACACGCCCGCCCACACAAACGCGCGCGCACACGCACGCACGCACGCATTCACGCACACACATACACACGAATCACGATATATTATATATATATAGCCGGATCATCCATTAACAAAGATAGCTGCATGGTGCTGATACATTCAAAGTGAAAATAGGCCATTCCGACGACGATTGCCAGTTATGGCAATAATAGGTCGTAACAAAGTGCTCTTTACATGAAATATCCATTTCGCTCGCGATAACTCTCTTTATTGCGTTTTGATCAACCCGGGCGGGCAAGTGACTGTGAGCGGCTACATTCAGAAGTGAACATAGTCAGTAATGTTTTATGTCTGGTAATATTCCATTTTCCCAGAATGTGACTTCAGTCTAACGGTAATACTTTGTGCTGAATGTTATCGGGTTCAGTCGTCGGGAACATATTAACCTTGTAGGAGGAAGAGTTAGATCATCCGGTTTGATAAGGGTTGTACAATGTCATTTTACAATCACGCGTTCTGATTGGTCCGCCAGAGATATAGAATTACGCTAATGAGGGTTTTACTGTGATATTTTATAGTCACGGGTCACGATTGGTCTCATGGATGTACGTTAATAAGGATTCTACCATGACATTATACAATCATGTAATCTGATTGGTCAGCCAGAAATATCAATTACGTCAAACCATGTCGACGCTGATGGTCGCATTATCACTTCTTTCGGAAACGGACGACACTGGGCCAAATTGAAAAAGAGCATAGGACATCTCAGTTTGCCATTTACTCGTTCACCATGTAACCTTGTAGAGGTTTTATTGAAGCCATGGCTGTGAGTTGTGTCACTATATCGCCATGCCACTCATTTCATACCGTAACATCTGCATATTGTCTTCAGGGCACACTTTAAAATGTACCAATTACTTGATATGAAGAATATTTCCTTGCAAATGTTGCATTCTTTTTCTCTGGAG